GAAAACGGCCAAGCAAATGTCGTCAACGGGGTGTTGAACACCGCCTGTAAGTTCCCCGCTCCGGGCTCCGTTCCCGGATAACAAAGCGGCGCGGGCGGCGGACTCCGAGCGCTGTTCGCGTCACGACCGGGCCCCAGCGGACACGCCTGGCCTGTTTGCGGCCGGTCCTCGTGCGAGCGTTGGCACGCAGTTGTAATCCAGGAACCGGGGGGGGGGCCGCCACGTACAAATTAGGCGGCCCCAGGTTCACAGCACATGAAGCGGGAAGCCTGCGGACACGTTCCCGGGGGCGTCGGGCGGACTGGTAATTGGGGTGCGAATGTTGACGGGGAGAGCACACGCCGCGTTGCCGGGCAGGGGGCGCGGGGGGAGGCCAATGCGGCCAATACACCGGCGCACGCGCTGATTATCGTGGGCCAGTGAGCGGGCTGAACCCAAGGTAGGCGGGAGAAGCACTGCGAGGATTACCGCACAAACAGTGTCGGCGCGGCGCCGAGCTGAAGCCCCCACCCGGGGCATCAATCTTTATGTCGATGGCGGCAGCACGAAGGGACCGCGCCGTGGCGATTTTGGTACGCTTGGCGTCAAATTGGCGCCAGGGAGAGAGTCGGAGCAAGGGTCCAGCAGGACCAATTCTGTGATTGATGGGCTGGCATGGTGGGTGACATTCGTGATGGAAATCGTGGAGACCTGCTCTCGGGCTGGACGCCCTCTGGGCCATTCATGGAGAGACAGATCTTTGTTGGGGCCTTTCCTTGATGATGTCACATGTGTCGATCCCGCAGGGTATGATGCGCTGGAAAGTGGCACCACGGTACATACCAAACATCCCTTTGCACGCACTGAAAGTCCCCAGGTACAATTGCGCGGTTTTATACAAGGCCACGCATTGGCTCATATCTCAGTCAGTGTCAGCCGTATAGGACTAGTATTTTCACAGCCTGTTGCAGACCTTGTAGCGTGAAGTTGGTTCAATTTTCAGGTCATTCCAACCATCTGCACGCTGGCAGTGTCCTGCGGTACAAGCACTGATCTATGTGCTCCGTCTCTCAAACCTCTTGAGCACTGTACCGCACTATGGTACGGTAAAAGGTACTGTAAATTGCGGTACAGAAGGAAGGGACTGGAAGCCGTTGTGTACACTATTGATGTGCTGCCGGTCGAGGAAAGGCAAGGCGAGCGGGTTGGCGGTGTTTCCGTTAAAGCCACAATTCTTCGACTGCTACTTTTAGATTTCTGTGGCTTTGTGGGAATAAATCCACTTGGATTGACGTTGATTGAAGACATGATCTTTCACAACTTGAATCGAGCGGTTCTCCGGCTGAAAAGAGGAGTTACAATATAACTCAGAGACTGCGAAGGGGTGTGGAGAACGATAAATGCGTCAGCTGCTGACCAGAGCAGGGCGAGCGGGCGGCCCCATTCGTGCGTTGAGACCTGGTTGGACGGCCTCCAAAACCATGAAGGGCAGGTGCCGGTTGGCAAGATACCCTTTAAGCCGCAGAAACATCTTCACCTCCGCAAAGAGGGCTACGCTGATGCTCTTATTAAGAAAAGAGATTGGCTACCTCATCTTTGTGCCAACTCTGTGTTTGGGTATGGTTACTGCCTCGATCTTTGAAACCAACACTGAATGTTTTTGACCTGTCCGCCATGTGGTGATTTGTGTTGAGCAAAATGCCATTTCAACGCTGGCATTGAACGTATGGTTATTATGCTTCTACAAACAGGTGAGGTCTGCAACTGGGGCAAAGTATTCTTTTGGAGTTCCAGCACAGTGTTGTTTTCAGGGCTGAGAAGTGTGCCAGCGAACGAGGCGGTTCGTCCCAATTTCCAATGGCGGTATTTTGTACAAGAATTCAGATAGATCCAGCGTGGATCATGGGGATGCCGTTCCCAGGCGCCACACTAACGGGAGCGAAGTGCCCCCAAAGCACGGAGCCTTGACATTTTTGTTGAATTGGCCAGCAACACACCGCATAAAATTCGCCTCCGCCGCCCTTTTGGGCGGCACCTCCCTCCCCATGTTCCGCCCCAGTGCCAAAGACTCGGACCCTTCCGTCCTGCGAAAGGCCAGAGCGGCGTGCTACGCGGTGAGTGGCCGGCAGGTGGTCAGCCACGCTGCGGGTCGACCGCTGCCTCTCCCCGCCACCTGCCGCCCCAGTCCATGCGGCTGCGACCTGCTCCAGTACCCCCGCACCGCCACCCCACATCCCCGGCAGCTCCCCCACCCCAACGCCGGCCTGCGCTGATCCTCGCATTTCCTTTTCTCCCTATTTTTAAAGGCCCGCGACCAGTACTACGCTTGCGCGGAGGAGGCGGGCACGGAGGTTTCGCCGGAGGTTGTCCCCGTCGCCTGCCGTAAGCTGAGGGCCGCCTACGAGGCCAGCTGCAGGCGGACCTGGGTGCGCTTGGCTGGCTTTTCCAAATAAAGCGACAGACCCCCGCCCATTGAGGCCGGTGACGGGGTTCAAGGTCGCTGAACGCGGGCGCTCATGGCCGCCTGGGGCAAACTCAGCTGACTTAAAGCTGACTTAGCAGCCTGATGCGGGGGCAAGCCTGCGAAAGCGTGGCGCAGTTCACGATACGCGGAAAAGCAGGCTTCGAATCCACCCCCCTGTGCCGAGCGGGAGGGGGCACGATTTGAATGCCGTCCCGTTTTTGGAACAGGTCGAGCACTTCGACTCGCAGCGGCAGAAGGAGGTCCGGCTGCTGCGCGCGATAAACGCCAGCATACGGGCGTCCGGCGACCAGGCGCACGGCACGCTCGCGGGGAAGCCGCTCGGCGACCGCGGCGAGTAGCACCCGCAGGGCCTGGGGATCGCGCTGATGGCCAGGGACAGGCAGGCGGACGCGGAGCGCGGCAAGGACAGGCGCAAACGGCGCCGGAGCCCCAGTCCGCCGAGGGAGAGGAAGGAGAGGCGCAAGGAGCGGGACGACCGAGATCGTGATCGGGCGCGCGATAAGGAGCGCGAGCGGGAGCGGGAAAGGGAGCGGGACCGTGGCCGCGAGCGCGAACGCGAGCGGGAACAGGAGAGGGAGAGGGAGCGAGAGAGGGACCTCAGGCGAGCGTAGGTTCATTGATGGTGACGCTAGGTTACGTTGTGTGCTGGCGGTTGGGTGGCCACACTGCCAAGCGGCAGGCATCATTGCTGACCCCTTTGTACTGGATCCTGGCCCTGGATTGGAGGCCTGCCTAAAGCCTCCTGCCCTCGTAGAACTGTTCCCGAAGTGTCAGTCAGGTGGTTTGGGAGCAGGGGCCCTTGCCATCAGCTGATGTGATCTTATAGCAGGGTGTGGTGCATATGAAATGGCATGAGATGAACTGAGAACATGTGATAACAGAGTTGTGGCGATCTGCACGAAAACACAATTCAGGAGGGCACGCCAGTGAAAGCTGTCTTACAGAGGGAAGACTGCAGGTGACATGTTGAGAACGCTTTCCTGGGCAAAGATACTCCAAGATACTGTTGCCTTCCAGCAGAGGGTGCAGATGTGCCTGAAAGTACAGTACCAATCGAGTAGCAGCGGCCACGAGTGTGTGGGTGCCAAGGCCGCTGCCTGCAAGGTGCAAGAGCACCACATTGTCGTTAAAGCCAATTCAACACAAAGGAATTTAGTGGATGTCAAGGTCATCTGTTGGCATTATACACGGTGGTATAACTGTGGCACAGGCGTCCATGATCCTCCAGCATCCTGATCTGCCGGAAGCTGTCCTTGCAGGAGGTCGCCCAGACGGGAAAGGGAAAAGAAGAGGAATCGGTCAACGTCCAGGGTGAGTTATCTGGCGTCTGGGATGTGCGTATGTTGTCAAGGGGAGCCTTGCAGTTTGCACTCGCTGAACATTTGTAACTGTTGTTGTGAGGACTTGGTATTCCATTTCTGTGAAGGGTGAACTGGTTGTTGATTCTTTTTATGCTCTGGTGCAATTGGCAGTTTGCAGGCTTTTCTGCGAATTGCAGCGTCATTGCCACAAGTGACTGCAGCAAGCAAAGTGCAAGTCAACCCGCCAGAGCGTGTGCACAGTCTACAGCCTCAGGGAATATTCCGATGAAATGCAGAAATGCTATCCTCATTGATGTTGCTCGTCAAAATACAGCAAGTCACTGCATTGTTCCCTATTAGGCGATGTCAGGCGCCATTCAGATTGTTGACCTCCAGAATGTTCACATCTGCAAGGAATTTGTCAGCTTCATTGTTCCCCTTCTCCATCGAGCAGGCCCATGACCTTGTACCTGAGGGTGACACCCACTGAAGAGCTATTCTATTCTGTCTACAGTCACGCACCAAGTCGCGCCGAAGCCGGAGCAGAAGCCGAACGCCTGAGGGACGCCACAGGAAGAGGCACAGGAGGGATGTGAAAGATGATGAAGAGGACAAAGAGGTCGCTGTTGACTTCACAGCAGATATCACACCAGAAGAGATGCAGATGATGCAGGCTATGGGAATCCCCTTTGTAAGATTGCTCTGGTCTGCATGCAGAAGCTGCTTGAGCTGCAGCACAGCAACAAACAGTGTTTAATGCGTATGCTCTCAACATCGCCGGCAAGGTGCAAGGGCCCAGCTTTGTCTTGTAAAGGGGATTGTAGCCTAAGGAAAATGTAGCCCAGTCATCCACACGAATCCTGTTCAAAAATTTACCAACCTGCCCACCTGCATTGTCGCCCATCAATGGCTGATAAGTCATGGGAACCAATCGTCTCACTGTATCAACAGGGTTTTGACACCACCAAGGGGACAGAAGTGAAGGACAGTGCATCCAATGCCAGCAGTGTACGGGTGAAGAGCATGCGACAGGCCAGGCAGTACATGAACAGAAAGGTAGGTGGAAGCGCAGCACCTCACAGCAGGGCCAGCTTGTCCACTTGGAAATGAGTTGGCATCTGAACCACAGTAACGGGATATGCGCCTTGTTTACAGGACACTGTATTCAAGAGTGTATGGTGCACATGGTGCATGGCCCCTCACCGCGAGATGGCAAGCAAAAGCAGGATGTTTTGATGTTGGTTCAGCAAGTGCATAGGAGTTAGTGCATAGAAGCGGAAATGCCAAGATGCTGCTGTGCACAACGTGGAACTGTATGCTGTCGGTGGTAAAAATGCATCAAGATTTTTGCTGGGACTTGTGCAGAGATGTTGTACTCAGAAATGATAACACGTTGGGCAATGTGACTTGTCCATTGTGTCATCATTTACAGCAGTTGCACTCAGCTCTTGCAGTTTGAATTGTTTGCTTCTCGGAGGAAAATGCACAGCGAAAAGCAACTAGTGCTAGTGAGTCCAGCTGATGGTGGCAAGTGGTAGAGCGAAATTCAAGGACTCAAAAGCGCCTGGAGGTGTGATCTCACCAGTCTTGCTTTCATTTCACGACAAGAATTCTTGTTGGCCTGTGCACTTTGTGCCACACTAATTTTGGACCGTGCAACGTGAAAATACTGTCAAGAAAGTAAAAGTCCACTGCCCCAACAGATTTGTCCCCACAATAGCCAACACATGTTGTTCTGGGGAGGCCATCAAGTGTTTGTGCTTCCATATGCGTTGGTGGTTTAAGAAAGGAGTTTGCCAATGTGCGACTCTATGCAGTTGAAAGGAATGGCGCTTCAGACCCCTGGCACCCTTCCACAGTACTATCCAAGTTTGAAGGCCTCACCAAGATGAAACGAGCATTGGCATCTGCTTATGCTGGCGTGTCGAGTGTACAAGACAAAAGCCATAGTCTTTTTCTGACATTTGTCAGAAAGTAACAAAACACAGCCATATCTCCATACAAGATATGATCGCCATAATCCTAGTACAAAATTTTGAACATGATCTTAAAACCAAAGATGGGCATGGGATGTTTTTATGATGACGAATGTGAGTCTCTGGTGTTGTTTATATGCACTGCTGAGGTAAGCTCTGCGAACTTACCGACTGCTCGCTTTGTTGTGTGCTAGGGCGGTTTCAACAGGCCATTACCTGCAGAAAAGACGAATGAGAAGGTCATCAGGGATTGAGACGAACTGAGGAGGACATTTCTATCAAATGCTCTTCAGTGCTGTGACTTGGCACGAATTCCAGTGACATGTTTGCCCAGACGCGAATGCTGCGCAGTTTGTGCTCAAGCCAACCTCTGTTGCCCTCGTTGGCAATGGCATGGCTGCAAGATGGTCTGGAGTCACGCATGCGATGCCATTGTTCAGTGGTTGCTGTGTCAGTGCAGGAATCATGCAGCAGGATGCTTGCATGAGCCAAACTTCAGAATTCTATTGACAGTACGGTGGAGTGTCCAACTGTTAAGCACCACTCACTTCTGTATATGCAAGCCCAAGCGAGCGACGAGGCAACTTCAGGACACATAACGGAATGTGCAGATGTAGCACGCCTATTGGATGTTGGATTAGAAGAAAAGGCACAGTGAAAGCTGTCAAGCGGAGCCTACCAATCAGCCAGTGACAGTGGCGTTGGATTGGTCACTAGGTTTGCACGTGTTGTCATCCTGCACTTGCTGTCTGGTGACCTTCCCTTCTGCGGCAGAAGTGAGCGTGGTTCAGCTTGCAGGATTGCGTGTCTCATACTTGGGGACGCTGAGTTGCTGCACTGTGGAGTGCTGCTGTGAACTGAGGATCTCACACACAGCAGCATAGATCAGCGCAGAGCCCTGTAACGTCGAATGTCGATCAACCAATCGGTAGCAGCTGCGCATTGGGAGGATCGGGTACTGTGAGTTCATACACGCCATTGTCAGTTGGCGCCATGTATTGGCACTGAAAGACAATCGCAATACAAGTGTGTCTCCCTCTCTGTGCACCACAGTGTCTGTTGCTATGGGGATTACTTGCCCCAAAGTCGACTGTGCAGCTGTATACGATGGTCTATGATGTACTCTCTTGTGGCACAGTCGTGCTTAGTGCATTTGTGCTCCACAGCAGGAGGTGTTCATGGAGCTTTTGATATTGCTATGTCAGGAAATATTCGACCAGCGCAGCATACTAAGTGTGACACGTGCATGTTGGTTGCTCAGCCGCAGCTGTTCTCTTGCTGGATGACATGTACAGGATTGTGCACTGATTGTTGCCATGTTCCAAAAGCCCTTCCTTACTGTGGACGCCTGGTTCCCCGTGCACTATCCCTATGTCACCATGGAAGCACCATCAGCAGGTATAGAATTGGTTCAATTGCTAACGCCCTCTACTGCTGTCTGGAGGCTGCACAAGCGGACAGAGCCTGGTAGTATATGACCATGGGAGACTGGCAGGAGTTAGCCCTGCCCTGCCCCTCTATCATCTCCCATCAGGTGCATGGACTTGTCATGTGTGCGCCACAGCTGGTCATTGGTGGCGCGCACATGACAACCAATGGATTCATAAATCCGCGGGGTCTCAGTTGGCCAGATGGCTGGCTGTGGCAGGCACCAGCGTTCCCAGAGAGACTTTAGAGACTGTGGCTTGAAAGCGTCAAATCCCCTGATGCGGAGTCGACGTTTCTTGTGCTGTGGGTTGGCATGGCAATTGTCCAAAGGGTGATGTGGCCATCTTTTGATCCATGCTTGCGAGGCACCTCAAACGGTGTGCCCAGGTCCCCGGTGTACCGAACACAGGCACACCCGAATCGATGGTGCGTCATGGGGCTGAACATCAAAACTGTTGTCTGAACAGCCCAAGCTCGGTATGTTACAACTCGTCGTGTTTTCGACCTTGCTCATCGATAGTCGGCCCTGTGTTCACATTATCGTCCCCCACAGCCCCAACGTCTTCCTGTGCTCCTGCTAGTGCATTCGGTTCTTTGGCATCACGGACGCCATACGGAGATGCTTGAACTCCGTCGTCTCTCCTGCCACCTTCCACCCCATATGGGTCGTCCTCACCCAACCTCCCGTCGCCGTCGTTGCCACATTCCTGCGGATTGGCGCAGTCTGCCCCATCAGGCACGCTTTTCTCTAGAGCTGCACCAGTATCAGCATCCCCCACTTCGGCCACATCTCCTGCATGTGGCAACTCATTGCTGGCATCCGCCGCCAGCTGCTGACTGCGGCCATCAGGAGTTTCTCCAGATTCTGCATCCTCCAATGACGGGGCCTCATTTTCGCCGTTCCTCCCCTCTTCCGCTTCAACTGGCATCTCACGATCTACGACGCCGTGGCTGTCAATTATCGCATTACCACCCTCTGATGCGTCGTCCTCAAACAGTGAGGCGGTGTCGGTGTCCTCAAGCCGTGGATCTGATTCTTTTCCTGAATGCCGCCGGTCGTCACTATTTTGTAGCTGAGACGCTGCGCCACTGTCCGAATCTTGTACTCCACTGCTCACAATATCAGCCTTTGGCGTCGAGCCTTCAACGAGATGGTCGTCCTCATGCACTGACACGGTGTCAGTATCTTCCAAGCTCTCAGACTCAGACATTGCGGCATCCTCCCAATCGTCGTTATTCGTGAGCTGAGGCGCTGCTCCACCGCCCTGAAGCTCCGCATCACCATTGGCGTCATCAGCCTCTGGTGTTGAGCCTTTCCCAACGGGGTTGTCGTCGACGCCTTCGACGTTTCCCGCAGCTGCAGTGCCCGCTTCGTTGTCTTCCCCGCCTTCTGCACCATCTGCACTCTCCAGTGTTGCACTGTCAGTTTCCTCCAAATCTGCCTCCGTTTTCTCCCTACCATCTAGATCAACTGCGTCTCTGTGGGGTGGCTCCACTTGTGCCATATTAGCGGCCCTGTTCTCCTCTTCTGGATGCAAGACATCCACAGATGAGTCCATGCCATCCCGTTGCTCAGCAGCATCTGCTCCCCTTCCTGTATCTGGCTGGGAGCCGGATCCAAATGTGGCCACGTTCGCAGATTCCAACGGGCGTTCAGTGCGATGCGACGGCGTTTGCACACCTCCAGATGCTGGGCCCTGACTTACAAGATTGCCCAGATGTGATGGCAAGTGTGAGATTGAGGACAACGTGAACCAGAACATCCGTGAAGCTTGTTCCTTCACAAAACCTGGCGTGAGTCCCAACACTCTCTTCTGAGTGATGTACAGGACGACAATAGTGAAGAGCAACACCCCGCCCCACAGAACAATCTTGTCCAGGACGTCATGCCATGACATTGTGTTCAGAAGCCGCCTTGACTTCGCAAAGAGTCCACGATGCGACTGCAGTTCTCGTTGCGCTTTTTTGAGGTCCCTTGTGCTGGAGTCTGCATGAAGGAGCACGCAACACCAAGAACGTCCATGCTGTCAAAGATATCCAAAAATCTTTCCATGCCTCAACTGCTGGGGCACAATGGCACAAACTCCAGCTGTAATAGGTACATTGCAATGCGGACAGTGGCAGCACAAGTCACCCACCCTGCTACAATCAGGATGTTCTGCCAGCAAGCATCGGCATGCGAGAGCTGATTCAATTTTTGACTTCTTTGGATGGCCACACTCAAACAGATCACCTGCAGCCAACGTGGGGAAAGCTTGTTGTGGAAAATGAAGATCGAGTGGGTGTGACGGTTGCTCACCTATGACCTCCAATGAGCTTCCCGTCAAGGCAATCTGTTGCGCCATCATTTCTCTTGTACGCCTTAAACTTTCCGTCACATCCTGTGCACCTCGTGCAGCTTCCTGCTTATTCCTGAACGTTGGTGGGACTGTTCCAGCTGCTCTGGCCCCCAGCAATGCTTGGCGCTGAATACAGAAAATCACAACAATGGCCTCAGTGCGAGCAAGAGTGCGACTATTGTTGAGTAGGTGGCCTTGAGGTTGCATCCATCATCCACACACAGCAACAGGAGCATAACCACAGCATTCCCTGCTCCCTCCCTGCACAATATCACAATAGACGTGATGACTCCTTTGCTCAATCGTACAATACAACATTGTAGAGTAAGGCTTCCACACGTTAATCCAGGCATGTACCCTGGCAGGCGATGAAGTCATGATTCCATCAACAGTATGCCTACAGCTCAATGCACCAAAAGTAATTCTCACAGCGTGATGTACAATAATCTCCAAGCATGCGATCCACCACCACATACTATGCTACCCTCTAAGTGCTCTGCTGCCTATATCTCCTCCTCAGCCCCATTCTTCACAAGGCACAGAAGAATCCCAGAACACCAAACACACAGAGCCAGGGTGCAAGTATATATTTCCCTGGCCAAGGCAACAGGGCTGAATATGCTCAGGGCTAAGGCAACGTCCTCTACAGTGCCGTGCTCTCTCAATTCCCTTGCAAAACAAGAGCTTGTCTATATTCGCATCACTGCCAAGAGATATCTTTCCTGCTGACATTCAGCTGTGAAGTTGTAACGCTGGTGAAACTACTGTTTTTGAACACTGCAAAGGCTTGTCAGCAGGCCCGCTGCTCACCTCCTCCTGCCAAGCTCTTTGTGAGTTCTTCTTCGCCTGCAATATGGCTGCAGCAAATGACTGAGATACCCTGTCAAAAACACGAAACTGGGATTAATGCGACTAGCACTGACTAGCAAGTGTTCTAGCCCAAAGGAGGAGGTGACTTTCGTTGCCTCTGCACATGGTTGAGCACAAAAGCAGTGGGCAAATGCCATCTTGCAGGCGCAGCATAAAACACCCAACCAATTTCAAGGGCACTGTCATGGATACCGGTCATGGTCAATTCGTGAGTCTCCTGCTTCTACAACACTGTACACAAAATGAGCATACCTCCTTTCTGCATTTACAGCTTGGCGAACCAGCCGCCCAACAGTCCAGATGGGCTCAGAAGATGACGTCTCCCTGACTAATATGCAACCTTGCCCTGATCACATCTAACGTGATATGACGAACAAGTGACACACCAGACAACATCGAGCCACCAAGGTGGTGGCACCACTTCACATTCTGGTCATCCACCCCAATAGAACAGGTTTCAAAGCTCAACAGCACTTGCAGTGCACGCACCTCTCATATGTTGTTTTGTGTTCTTTCAGCCACAATGCCACCTGTGCTGTTGCCTCATCCCTGCACCGACAGATGACAACAACTGACCAATATGGATACCCAACTCAATCATGCATGCAAGTTCGTCTGCATTATGCCACAATGCTCCCAGACTGCCCCCTCACCCCTTGTCCCCAAGCATGAAAGGACACTTTTGGCAAAGCACTGCTGTTGGGCAAGCACTGTCGTGGCCACAGAGCCAAAGGACAAAGCACTAAGTCTAGTGCCCACTTTGCCCAGAAGGGTGTTGGCAGACTGTTCCCACCAACAGCAGCGTTTGCAGTGCCCAACTCAGCTCGTTCAGAAACAAAGGGCAAAAATGTCCAAATGTCTTTAAAGCATTCGAAACCAGGAATTTCTTGTGGCAGAATAAGGGTTAAGGATAAACAGTAGCAGAGGGCGTTACCAAAGTGGCAACCTGCTATCCTTGCATCGTTGCCTGCATCCCTGACCCTTAAGTTCAAGGGGTGATCAGTTGTTTCCAGAAGCCACAGTCTGTCATTGGGCGACGCACACACGGTTTTTTGGCACACCTCCACTGCATGCACACGCGAATGTCGGTGCCTATCCTCTTCCATTGATGACCGGAATGGGGGAAGATGGTCTGCTAGTAAACCAACAATGCTAATCCCCTCAAAACGCTTGGCAAAATCTTACGCATCCGTGTCACTCCTGCACACCCTTGTTATGGCTCGCCCTTCCCTATGATTGCATCGGCGTTCGCAACCGTTTCCGTCGACTTCTGTAACCGTCGAGTCGGAGCCAGTTTTCCAATCTTACGACACTGCATGAAATTTCCTGCGGTCTGTGCTGTGCGCTGTGCCTGTTGCACCCCGAGACAGCTGCATCACCTCCTGGTGAGCTCGAAATGCCAATTCTCGCACGGGAGGGGAGTACGACTTGTTTCCTTTCGGTGGGAAAGACAATCTTGCCAGTCAATGCAAGTCGTATTTCAACACAACTGTGATTCCTACACCCGCCATCCTGCAACGCGGGACTTGGGAACGCAGGGGCGGCTTGATGCAGCGCGTCCACCCGTAACATCTCGTCTGCGGCAACCGCTGGCAGCGTGCCATCGGGCCCCCTTCTTTTCGACGGCAGGACGGAAGCCCAATCAGCTACTGGGCAATCGACGCCCACATCTGGCACACCCGCGCAGGCGTTCTGTGGGATCCTTTCGGGTAGCCCTGGACGGACGCCGCCGCCGCGAATCGTTCCAGACAGACCGGGTTTGGGCAGAAGTGCAATTTTGCAAGCAACGTCCTTGAACAGCCTTGAGTCTTCAGGTGATGTGTGCGGACGCAAGCCAGAGCGCAGCGGCTGCGCGCCGCACACCATCGGCGCCACACTCACGTCTCCTGCTCCTCGGCATAGAGCTCCAGGTCCCGCAGGCAGGCGCGCATTCGCTCCAGGTCCTGCTTGACTCGGCGCGTCAGGTCCTCGCTCTCGCCCCCAGTGCCGGGCGCCCCCAGGCCCGCGAGGCTATTGATGAGGGTCGACGCGTCCTGCTGGAGGGCCCCCAGGCGGGCGTGCAGCCCGGCCTCTTCCTCTCCCACGCCCGCCATCCCCGCCATCGCGCCGCTCGCCGCGACTTGCACACCGGGACAGCTCCCTGGCTTTCACCGCCAAACCTCGGTTTGCCGAACCAGGACTGCGCCGAAAAACAGGAAAAAAAAAGGAAGCGGGAGTGTGCAGTTCCGAAACTGGAGGTGTTCCGGATACAGACCATGAGTACAGGACGGGGACCCTGCACACACACAATGGCGATGGGCGTGGTCCAAGATATTGGCTGGGTGACGGGCGACCATGACGGCATCCTTGGGAGCTGGAACGATAGAAGAGCCAGCGTGCCAATGGATGAAATAGATGAAAGCGTGCATTGACTTAAGAGGCCGGTGTCAGTAATCCTATTCCCTCCAAATGGCTATGATTTTCATTTCGCTTTTGGACCCAAGGGCTCCCTTTCAGTCCCACAAGACGCCAAGCATGTGATGTCCTTGTGTGAATGAAGAGCCCAACCCCAAAGCAGGAATAAAAAATGTACCATATGCTCCAATGGTCAGGAGCGGTTGTGTGCAAAGTTTTTGCACGCAAGCTGTACCATTCCGTGCTTCATCTTGGTCAGAACCAACCACATCTACAGGTGGCACTTTCTAGATATGCTGTCCTCTTTCAGCAGTACGTTTTGTTGTCTGTAGCCAGGTTTTCGCTGCCGATGGTTCATTATGGCGGCCAGAGAATGCCACGGTACTTGAAGGGGACCAGCGTAATTTTGCAGCAATTTGCGGGTGAACGATTTTCCCCCCCTCCTTGGTGTCACTCCAGGCAATGGTGTGCAGAGGACTACACAGTGCCTTGGATTGCAAGGCCTTTTCTTGGATTCATGTGGCAAGGTTCGATACTTGTGGATGAGGACCCTTGGGGTCGCAGACAGGACCTCTCGATGGCTCTTACAGCTACCACCCTTTCGCGCCATACACATACGAACCCAAGTGTCGCGATTTACCGAATCCATTTTGTGTATTCACATGCCACCCGACTGACAAGAACATTCAACACAATGGAGCGCAGTGCAGCCAGCTCCTTGTGTAGCCAAACGCATGGCTCCAGGAGATCATTCATAACTACCTTGCCCTTCAGAATTCGAATGACTTGCCATTCTCGCCCATCGCCAGCATTTTGGTGGACACACTCCTCGACTCGATCATGCCAGTGCCAGAACAAACGACGTGCAGATCATAAGCGCATGCGCCATCCCCATAGGTACATAATCAGTTGCTGTTCTTGTGGCCAAATCCATAAAGATAGAATTCAAGATCACTAACCCAGGGCCAACTCCGATCAGCAGAGAACGGCCAAACAGGTGCCCATCCCCCTTGTCTTTGGCGCAAATCAGCAGAGGGAATAAAAAATCTGTCAGTGATCAACGGTCGTTCCTTGCCAAGTGGTTGCTGCGTCGAGGCGTGCTCCAAAGAGCGGACACCTGGATGAGGGCCGCGATTGGAAGCAACCCCGAGGCCGCCTGGCATTGCAAAGATGCCTCACATCAAGAGAATGGGTCACTGATTGGGGTTGATGCCCAGCAGCATGTTGCCAGTTTGTGGCAGGTACACCACGTTGCGACTCTTGGCCATGGTGGCTGCGATCTCCTTGGCGGCCTGGCAGAACAATTGCACCACGTTAGGATCCTCAGCTGAGACGACATTGGGCACTAGAAACGCTGCATCTGCAGAGGCACCAGTTCCACTGTGCACTGGAAAAATGACGGGCCCAAGGCCGAAAGCTAAACAAGACTGATAACTACAAGCAATGATGCCAAAATGCTGCATCATGTACCAGAACAGCTTCGAGTGGGCAGACAACAACGGCACGCAATTCTGTCAGTGAAGCAGTTCACTGCTATACATTTATGCCTGCCATCATTGCCAACACGAAGTTGCAGGTTATCTTCTGCCACCAGCTCCTTTATACCTTCAAATCATCCATGCGACCCCTACCTCGATTCGCCTGAGCTCTATCATGCCTGGGCCAGCCTTTGCCGTCGCCTCTGTGATGAGCCTGGCAGCTTCACTCTCTCCTTCAGCGCGGGTTACAGCAGCCTTGCGCTCCTGGAATATGAGACCAGCACAACCAGCTCTATTAGCATAATCGGCACAGCCACCACGTTCAAGGCGTTGAAATACAACAAGAGGTTTGCCACTGATCCACGTACAACACTGAGATGCCTGCATCAGTCGCTGTCGGTCGGTAATGGCAAACATGCAGACAAAGAGACGTTGATGCAGTGTGCCACAGAATGCATTTCGAAAGGCAGGCCTGATTGGAACAAATGCACAGTGAAGCTGGCTTCTGGTGCTTCTTAATGGATCCATGCCACATAATGCACGCCCACTAACATGGGTTGACAATGGGCGTACAAGGGTTTAGCGTTCCTATATGCTTCAAAAAAATGCCCAAAAACAGTCCAAAGAACTGCATGCTGCAATTGCAAGCACGTGTTTGTGCCCATGCAGGGCGTCAGCAGGCAAACAGGCAACAATTACCAAAGGTCGAAACGTTCCGCTCCTACTTAATGCACGAATGCCTCTTGCGCCATAATGGCCACACACCTGGTCAGCCTTGTCAACCAGGAATTTCGCACGCTCGGCCTCCTGCTCAGCAACTTGCTTCGATTCTACAGCCTTTGTGAACTGCAGCAGCACAAGACTGTGTGTCCTAAGTCTCAAGGAACAGTGATGCATATGCACAGCAAACATGACATGGACGACTGTCAGAAACGTATTGAGTGGGAAAGTCCTCCCAGGATGCGAGATATTGCCCATCACCTCAATGTTCTAGGAAAGATCTGCCGGAACCCATGGCAAATTCAAAGTGTTGCCAACACAGAAACTCTTTGCCATGTGGGACAATCCAAGGAAAGATTATGCCAACACTGTCTACTGTATTCGACCCTTTGCCGTTCTGAAACAATAGGTTCGTTTCCATTCCCCAGAACCCGGCCCAATCAGCGTCATCAAAACTCTTTGTCCCTCATATCGTGTCTGGATAGGCTGCGGGGGCAGCAGAACAGGATGCATGGCCTAGGCCTTGACCAGCGGCGCAAGGCAACTGTGTTGACCACTTCAAAGGCTGTTTCGAAACTCCTACATTGGGGGAAATTGAGCTTCGTCTACAAAAAGCCGCTTTCTCCATGTGTCTCTAGATTCCTGCCCCTCCCCTTGCTCTTGCAAAACAGGATACAAGAACTCTGGCGTGGGCTTTGTGGCTTTCAAGGCCAACAGCTTCTGCCATATGTATCGAGTCCATTCAAGAGATACCCTGTCTTGCAGAGACAAACTGGCATTCGCTTTGTCCTATCCCTTTGCTACCAGTCTCCCAGTGGATTCGGCTCTCCATTTGTTGCCGAGAGAATATGGGACCCTGACTCAGGCAAGACACTAGTTCCCTCACCAGCCACATCACTTTTTGTGCACCATCTCCCAGCATCGATGTGCCTAACCACATTCTGAGGGGCTCCATTCTCACTAATGCATAATCAACGCAAACAAGTGCATGCAAAAAAGTGATGTTTTAGTCCGCATGGTCCATTCTGGTGCAGTTCTGGGGCTCGTGCATCAAAACCTTCGTTCACCACTTCTTCATCCATGTTTTGCTTGGCATTCCTCTGAACGCTGTGCCTCTATACTTCAGTTGCTCACCACAACAACGTTGAACATTCATCACTGTACCCAAGGGTTGAATACAGTACAGTAGTGAAAGCCACGTCCAAGCGCTCTGCTTCATTGGCAAACTGACACAGTTGTGAACAGGCATTCAGCACAGGGGGCAGGCGTTGGTACAGCAGGCAACATTGACTAGTTCTCGCCACATGATCAATACCTCGGTACCAAACGAAAGGTGTGTAATGGCCACATCATCGAGAAGAATGTTGAACATGGCAGCCCGCTGCACCAAAGTTTCTCGCACCTGCACAGGGCAGCAGTGACGAATCACAAAAATAAAGCAGAACAAAGGGATGAGGCCAGCAGAACAGCAGTGTCAGTGAAGACAAAGCACAAATTGGCATTGCTCATGTACAAGTGGCACTCTGGAAGTCCGAGTGTACTGCCAACGTCCAATTGTGCAATATCATGATGTGCAATGCCCTGGTCCTTGTCAAGGCTGCCGGGATTTGCCAGCAGCTTGGTGACGCTGCCAGGTGGCTGTGCGTCCTTACCGCTCTGGAGACTTTCTCTCTTTGGGTGAGAAGCTGCTCTGCATTGTATTGCGCCACCACTGCCTTCACAACCTCAGTCCCGATGGAAGGCAACACCTTTTCATCCCAGTCCAAGCCAAGCATCTGGTAGAGGGCACATGTCACACAATATGTATCAGGCCTCAATCACCCCTTGTGCAGCCCAAAACAGGAGCTCACTCCTGCCCTTCAAAATACATCACATTCTCTTGGCATATCCACAGAGCTCCCTCAAATCAGGCACAGTGGGTTTTATTCATTTTCAAAATCAACTTCTTTATTTCAGCCATTGGCTGCAGTATCCTTGTGCATCCTGGTGGGACCATGGGATGCAGGGGGCACAAGTGCATCTTTCAGTCATGAGCCGCAATTCCAGTCCATTTCCAATAGGATGGCACCAACAACTGAGGCGAGCCATGAGATTGCGATGGGGATTAACATTGTCGCAATAGATCGAGAATGGAAACACCAGTGCCTCACCACGACCTGCAGCACACATGACTGTGATGCTGCTAAGTTTGCAGCAATCAAAATCAGTGAAAAGTTGTGCATGCATATTTCATGCCAGCTGAGAAATGATGTGCCTCCAAACATTTTCTTCCAATCAATGGCTGGGCCAATGCCATCATGCAAGCAATACCAAGGGGTGCTGTCTGCAACTCAACAACTATCTTTGACAACTATTGAGAACATCTGCAGTGTTTCTTTCTTCTGCTTTCCTGGCTGCCCATGCAGACTTGTCATGCTAGGTTTCCTGCCACAGCAGGCTTGCACATAATGCTGTAGTTCAAAAGGGGGCACTGCCATGACTGCTGGCAATGCAGCCACTGCACCATGTGTATCGAATTGTGCTTTGTGAACGTACCACAACCACAGGACTCCCAACTTTCACAGACCCAGGGTGTCTCACCATCCAAATATCTGGAAGCTTGTCCGTTCTTGGCTTGGAAAGAATGCGCAATGTCATGTTCACCATCTGCAAATCTGACGTTGCAACATTGAGCCATCAGAACAAAGCGATGCCCACAAGGAAGCAAACCGTGTGTCTGATCTGCCGTGATTTCCTCCTGAAACCAACAGCACCATCGACACTGCCCAAAATTTCCACGCTTTCATCAAGGCATGCATGGCTTGATGAGACAAATAAGCCTTGGTGCCATGACACAGTACCAACCAAAGAACTCGCCCTGCTCAGCTGGCTTTGGGCCGAATAGTAATGGCACTGAACAATCCAATTTGCGGCAGCAGTGCATTTCTGACAGCACTAGAGGGATCTGCTTTCCTCATATCCTTCCCACAGGCATGCACATTAACAGCAAAGAACGCCTAGGTGTCTAAGGTGTTATCATCTCATTCGCCAAACACCCGTTCTGAACGCTGCTTCCGTTAGAGGGAGAAGTTGCAATTGACAATTCCACACACATCGGCAAACAACAGTTTGAGGATCTGTGCCCATACTCCACACGTCACACGCAATCAGCATAATACCAACCATGACGGGGGAGACAAGCTGCATTCCCAGCTGCCGCCCAGTCGCGGGCCCGCCCCCCTTCCCCACCTTTCGTTCCTGTCACGGAACTGATGTTGCGCGCCCTGGTGCGCACGTCGTATATGATGGGGTACTGCAGGATGGGCACCAGGAAGTGCGTCCCCTCGCTGATCACGTCGCGCAGGACGCCGCGGTAGCGATCAAAGATCACCGCCCTCTCGCCGCCGTCCACTGCGGAAATCCCACGCACCGCACACACACCGCGATCACGACCCGCCAAACACCGTCGCCGACCGGCCAAGCCGCCCTGGGGGTGCTCGCCGCCCGAGAGGAGCTCCGCCGGGCGGAGGGGCAGCCGAGAGGGGGCCGACGGGGATGCGGAGATGCGGCATGGGGATTGACGTGTGGAGAGTTTCTGATGCCGGCTGCGCACCTGTGTACATGGAGGACTGCAGGGCCGCGCCGCCCACGCCCAGCGCGGTGGACCACTTCGCCACATTGAGCAGGAGCTTGGCGAGCGCCTGGGCGGACTGTTGGGACATCCTGCCTGCCGGTGCACCTCCAGGCGGTCTGTGCGGCGGGGCAGTGGATAGCGCCCATTGAGGGTTCGCGGCCGAGGGTTGGTGGACCTAAACTGACTGGAAAAGGTCGAGGACCTAAATTGCAGCACAGCCAGCTGCCCAACTCTGACGGAATATCGTGCCCCTTTTCCGGCTGCAGTTGGTGCAGTGGCGTGCTGTGCAAGTTAAATCAGGGCTGGCCGACTAAAAGGTTTGTCAGCATGTCGTCCAAGGATTGCTCACGCCCAATACCGTTGCTTGCGTTCTTTGCAGAATTGCTTGCTGCTGCGTTTTAGAGCACGATTCGCAAGCCGATTTCATCAGCCACACATCACAGCGTACATACGTGCCCGCATTCGGCAGGCACTACACTGTGCCGGTGTCTGTATGGGTACTTGCAAGCTGATCTTTATTAGCCGGTAAAGGATCAATAGGCACCCAGCCAACGCTGCACTCGCACCTGTCCGCCCTCACGTAGATGGCAAACATCATCATCGCTTTGTCGCAGCAAGAGCGTTATTTTTTTTATGGTGCAAAAACAATCAAAGCGAATTCCACTCTCCTCGGCGTGATCTCTACAATGCCAACAATGCGCCTCTAGTTCCAAATTTGTGCCACAACGAAGCATGAGCGGAAGTTTGTTTGTACTGATGATTGGACAGCCAGTAGAACAGGTTGCAAATATTTCAATACCTTTGGTTTTCATTGAACATCTAATGGGCGCCGCTTCTCCTGTGGAAAATGCGAGGCTCAAGGCTATCTGCGCGCCTTGATCTAGGTGATGTCGAAATCGTCGGTGACAAATTACTGACATTTGCCATCGGCTGGTTGCTGAAGCCGTGCAATTATCTAAAACTGACATGAACGGCGGGATTTGTTGCTTGTAACACAAAAAGACCCAGATTTCCTTTCACTTGACGTGCTGATGAGAATGAACTTTCGCTGGCCCGGAAAGAGTGGCAGAGGTATAGATATGATCAGCAAAAGCGGTACAAAACAGCGGAAATACACAGGGAAGGAACTTCGGTATGTGCATTCCATTATCATCTGCTGCCTTCCATCCTCCCCACTCTCCCAGGTGCCTATTTGCGGGGATGCATTCTATCGACACACCACAGCAAGACAATGCACCAAAACAATCCAACCATGTCATGCCCTCAAGGGCTCGCCGCCTTTCGCTTCAGCCACTGCACCACCAATGTTCAGGCGACTTCTCAATTGCTGTTCCAGTAGGATGTAATCTTGCTCTTCCTTTTCGCTCGGCCCCTCCGACACAGTGTTGTCTCTGCCGGCATTCTCTTTGTCCCCTTCTCCTTCCTTCTCCTTGCTTTTCTCCTCAAGGGCTTTAAGAACCTCTTGGCGCATTGGCTGTGCAATTTTAGTGCACCAGAACAGCAAATTTAGAAGAAAGTCAACCCTGCGTCTACCCCATTTTTCTGCAATAATGCTCACTACCTAATGCCGGTAAGCTGTGCAGCAATCCGTGGCAAACGATGCTCCTGTCTTAGTTGCTGCTGAAATTAGCGATGGTATTTTCACATCAGTGAGTCCCCGGGCAGTTTCCTCAACTCATCCAGGATGTTGACGCGATTCATCGCATTTAAAGGGGCGACACGTATTTTGTGCACAATGGTGTTGCATGTTTTCACGAAAATAACTCTTCTTGAACTGTCGGGCTGTATCCTTTGTGGCCCAACACAATGTGGTGCCTGAAATTGCAATAGCGCTTGCGGAAGCCGCCATTTGAGCTGCGCACCACAATCGATGGTGAAATAGGATGCACATCGCACGCATACGCCGCGACCAAGGGGAAGGCCGCTCACTTTCCTTTCTGTTACCATGGCCTAGACAAATCACCATGCGCCGTTGTGTATAAGACAAGGCAGCGATTGCGCTTCTCCGTGCGTAAAATTAAGAAGACAGGGTCTGGTAGAAGGACATTACCTCCCTATGCTCCACAGCAGCCAGCCTCGAAATTTCCCTTCTAATAAACTGCACCATCAGATTCTTCTCGTTGTGCAGCGCACGTCGCAAATTCCTGGGCAGCTCCATGATGTGGAGGACACCGACGCTGTCTCCCAGCGCCAGCAACTGCTGCGAAGTGTTGGTGCTGCGATTGGAGGTGCCGTTGAACGCCATGGACGCCACCGTAGTTGAACTAACAGTGGTGGTGATGGACGGTTCGTGGGTGCGGTCCAGAAGGTCCCACACCTCGAGGACACCGCCTTCCATCGAGAGATAGATAACGGCAGGCCGTGTGGGGCTCCAGCAGGCTGTGATGACAGGATTTTGGTTCAGAAAATCCTTGCTCAGGCTGCCGCAAATTTTTGCGCTTCTACGTTTACGTTTTTACACGCAAAACGCAAATTTGCGAAAGGGACTATTTTGTCGGCTATTTGTACGTTTTTGCGGCTGGTTGGGACAGCAAGGTTACATGACGAAATTTGCAAACAGTGATGAGTCATTTGCCCTCTCCAGCACCCGCAACACAGTGCTCACCTCGCCCTCGGCTTGAGAAACGACGGCATGGAACAAAAGTACGTTTTCTACCCATTCCAGCGCGTCTGACTGCCACTGCCCGGACTCCCCAAGTCTGCATGTGCACGTTATGTACTGTCCTTGTGTACACGGGGCTTTGTTTACGTTGCGTTTATGTATTTTTACGCGCAAGAGGGCTAAAGCTGTTTTTACTTGTAAAAACGTAAATACGTTCAGTTTTGCGGCGTAAAAACATAAATACGTTCAGTTTTCACAGCGAAAAAGCCAAGCCTGGCTGTTCGTCGTGCGATTTGTGGCGGGGCGATGAAAAGCGCCTGTACATGCAACAATCGACATAGTTGCAGCGTCGGGAGGAGCTATTGGTTAACCGCCTAGCAGTAGCCAGTACCTGTGCCTCTTTGTGGCGATAACACAGGGACGATATCAAATCCTGAAAAGACCGCCACGTGCAATAGGCTCTCGGCATACAGAGCAGCAGGAGTTAAAACACTGGCGAACTGTCGCACCTGCCGGCGTGCCTCCGAGGCATGCGCCGAGTAGGTGCGTCTGCTAGCGTTGGCCTTTCAGAACGCCAAATGCAGTGCAAGAACAATGCACAACTGCCCCTTCATAAATGCTCCATTGCCCTGCATTGTCCGGGGTCAAGGCCAACGCACCGCGCGTGTCTGTCGGCGGAGCGAAATCACCAAGACCTTTCAAAACGCGATGGCGCACACGCACACCTGCGACATAGTAATCCTGTGCGAATGGCGACACGAACAATGGCTTCTCGTGTCCTTCCTTCCATATCTGGAACGTCCAATCGCCAACAGATAAGAGGACGTCATCAAAGAAGGGTGAACGGGCGAGGGCAACCACGGGGCCGGCGTGCGACAAGTGGATGGACTTCGTGTGGTCTGGGTGCTCCACGCCCTCCGCTCTTGTCCACTCCGCGTGGACCATCTCGCCGTCGAAAGAGGCGACGAAGAAGTCCGTCTTGATGTTGCTCTCCAGGCTGAAGGAGAACTTGAGGCACGACAGGTCGCCTCCCTCGCTGCTGATGAGGGCCACGACGTACAGCGGCCGCCAAGCGTCGCCCTTCTGCCCCTGGAGATTTCCGAAGCGGTGGAGGTCACACGGACAGGGACCCAATCAAAAGGAAACATCTGCTCCGCACAAGGTGAACGTTTCCTTAGGCCCTCCGGGTTGGCGGCAGGCAGAACTTGTAGCTGCAGGGCTTGCTCGTGAAATTGACTGCCGTGTGGAGCAACACCCATTTGTGAGTTTGTGTCTGCATTATCGCCTCAACAGTGAGATTGAGATCCTCTTTAATTTCGTCACTTTGGTTAGCGTAAGAAGATCGCAGCGTAAGGGAGACCGTCGTACCTTTTTCGCAGATCGCTCTGTGCGCATGTCCCAAAACATAACTTTGCCATCACCCGCAAGAGTGGCGAAAAAGTTGCACTCCTTTCCCAGTACGCCATCTGCTACCTGCCGGAAGAGGACAGAGAGACAAAGCAAGCTGTCTCGTTACTCCAAATCATGCCAATATGTGTTTTTTGTGACGGCTGCGAGCACCGAAGAAGTTTTGCACATCGCTGAAAGCAGGCTACTAGACGCATGCGTGTGATGCACTGTGTCGAGCAAATATCATTATTCCATGTTACGCCAAGACGGAATCAAGCGCAGGTCAAGCCCGATCTCCTTAGAAGAGCAAATGGTACCTAGGCTGCACCTTGTTCATTTGCCCGCTCTTGGTCACTTCAATGCCGTCCAGCCAGTGAAGATCGGCAACGCGGCTGGTGTGGGAAAATTCCGATGCGGACAGGTGCCTGTGTTTCACCACCGGCACCGATGTCTCGTCTCCACCATCCTCCCGTTTCACGTTCTTCGCCCGGCCGATTCGCTCAGTTTCGTCCGTGGTGTCCCAGGTCACGATCTGCGCCCGCGAACGCTACTGTAACGGCTGACATCGCCACTTCGGCAATTCCAACGCCAGCGCATTGAGTTTTGAACCAAGCCCACAGAAGCATTGAGCAGCGGGTTTTGGCCACCTTCTGGAGGCCTCACGCCAACAATGTGCAAATTCTACCTCGCTATGGCAATTGCCACTGTCATTCAGGCGGGTTGCTACTAGAGGCGTTGCATACACTCCATGTAAGCTCATCACACAAATTCGAAGTTTGTGCAGGGATCCGCTTCAAGAGACGAGAGGAGACTAAGATAACCGTGCACATGATCCACAGCTTCGAACCTGGTTTGGTAATACTTGCACAAACATTACATTTCTAATCCATATAAGGGAAGCAACTTATCCCAAAAAACGATTTTGCAAGCAACACAAGAATATAGAAGTCGCGCGAATTCGAAATGCATTTGAAGCAAAAAGCACACAGCCGTGCTGCCAAAGCTCTCAAGTATGTGAATCAAAAATTCTGAATCAACAGCCATCGACACCATCCCGTTTCTTCAGAAAAGCAGGCGAATGGAAACGATAAGAATCC